TTTTTTTTTCTTTCCTTTTTCCCTTATAGAAACGATGATATCTCTAATTTTACTTTCGTCGTTTCTTCTATACTTAACTTCACTTTACTATATCCCCATTTCTCCCTATCGAGATGATAAATGCCGTGATAAGAAAAAAAAAAAAAAAGGAAAAGAAGAAAAAAAAAAAAATGGGTGGGTGGAAGGTGCATGACTTCTTTCTTTGATCTTTTATTTATTTATTTTTCATTCGTACGCTTGGTCGTTCGTTCGTTCTTTTTTTTTCTTTCTTCTTCTAATTCCGTTCACAGCCTTATAATTACCAATGCTGATCATTGGTTAAAGAAGTTTTTTTTTTTCCTTCTTGTAGGTTTCTACCTTGACCGCTGGCGTGTCTGTGTTTGTGCTTTTGCTGGCATATTCATGCAGAGATTTAACGGAACTGAATTCGTTTATTATTATTACTATTACTATTACTATTATTATGATGATGATTATTAGCCTGATTTGCCAAAGGATCAAAGCTGATGAGTCTAGATGTATATTTTTATGTTTATATGCTTAAATAATAATAGTAATTATTATTATAAAGCGTAAATAGTATTTAATTATTTATTGGTCTCTCTTATGTTTGCGGAATGACTATAGATAGTATGAGAATGTCTTTTTTTTTCTTTTTTTTCTTTTTTACTCCTGAGTCCTCTGTTGTATTTATCTATCTCTCTCTTTTTTTTTATTTTTTTCTTTTCTTGCACTCTTTTTTTTTTCTTTTTCTTCTTGTTTTCTCTCTTTTTTTTTTTTTTTGTTTTTTAGTGTTCCCGTTATCTTTTTATTTATTTATTTATTTATTTATGATTAATTGATTATTTAATTAATTGATTAATAGGAGAAAGAGAAGAAGAAGGTGTCTATCGAATGGGGTGTTTGCCAAGCAGGGAATTCCACGAGAGTCCACAGTCTCTTCAGTACATCCGCACAGACTCGCTGGTGTTTATTCGTCTTCCTCTCACCCCGCACTTCTTTCCAACTCCACAGTCCCTCGCCTTTCAACAACTGTTTGCCTGCCGGGCAGCACAATCGGCAAAGTACGGATTTGATATTCTGGACCCACACCGCAAGTGTTGTGGCCATGCAGAAATAACAATAATAAAAGAAAAAGAAAAAGAAATATCAGGAATATTTACTCAGGATTCACAAAAGTCATATTGTAAGCGATGTGATAAGGAAAAGGAATTCAATTTAAAAACGAATCGTGACTGTCATAATAATAAATACGATGATGATGATGAAGAGGAAGAGGATTGGGATGGTGTTTGTGAAGAAGAATTGGAAATGAATCCATCCGCTATCTATCGTGAGAAGAAAGATTATCTTATACCCACAAGTAATGAGCATGATAACAGTACAGTTTACTTAACTGATGATGGAATAGAAAAGGAAGAAAATAAACATAATGAGGAACACATACATCACTGCTATTGTAGAAGCCCAGAGGAACTGTATAGAGTACTAATCACTCAGGGTACTGTTCCTGCAATAACTGAAACAAATGCGGAGATGCGAGCTTTATATGATAAGGAACTCGCATGGCGTAGTGCACGAGAAATAATTCGAAACTATCGACAACAACAACAACAACAACAAGAACAAGAAGAAGAAGAACAAAATGAAGAGAAAAAGAAAAATAAACGGGAAACTGATATTCCTGCTGCTGTTCGCGCTGCAGAGAAGGTTTTACCACCTCAAAGGTTTTTATGGCCTCTTCCTACTGCAGTACTTAACGTTCTAACACCTACTGACAACACCTACCAAACACCACCAGATGATATTATCAGAAATACTCTACCCTGTGATGGGAAATTACACTTAATGGAATACAACAGTACACTCTTCCTTGTTGCTTGTTCAAATACTGAAGTTGATACATATATTGTATCCCCTATCGCAGTTCGTGTTGTGGGATGTGACTCTTTAATTCCCGCCGTGTGTCGAGGAACACCGTGGTTACGTAAACTTAATGCTACTCCTAATATTATTAATTATAATGATTATAATGATTATAATAATAGTGATGATAATAATAATGATGATGATGTGGATTTAGAAGAAGATAGGTATAATGAAGAACTTCCACCGTTTCAGCGACCTCCGGTGTTGTGTGCTTGTCTCTTTTGTGGAGTGGATGTTTGCTGTAAAGCCATTAGTCGTGCACAACTTGCAGGATATGGACATTACGCTTTGCATTCAAAGATGACAGGTATGTCTGGGTTAATTGTGCGACCGGTTTGGCATTTGGGAATTGCCTCCAATGTGCCATTATTGCGATTAACCGCAGAGCTGCGGGGTCTCCTGCAGGGTGTGAATTTTTCTACTTATTCTTCTGTGGTTACGAGTATTCGTGGAAAACGAATCTTATTGCGTTTTCAGGAAAAGGCAGTGATGGCGGTGTGTGAAGTGTGTGCACGATCCGATAACTTTGCGAAAGAATTGCACTGTCATCACATGCAGCAGCAGCAGCAGCAGGGACAAAAGGAAGAGGAAAAAGAAGAAAAGCTGATGGAAACATCTATATTTTATGATTACGGAGGGCGTATTGGGGTACATTCAAAGACTGGTGAGTTGTGTGTTACGACACATATACGTAATTCTCTCCATATGCTGGAAGATGCTAGTTTCAATGAAGAAAAGGAAGAAAAAGAAGAAATGGGGGAAAGGAAGTTAAGGGGAAAAAGGGTAGGGAAAGAAAATGGAAAGAGAAAGACATGTTGTTGCAAAACAGAGTTAGTGTTCGTTGTGACTATTCCTTGGAAAACTGCGAAGGGTCCATCATCGCAAAGGACTATTACACCAACTGTTGCAGCAACAGAGGATGAAAAAAGAAAGAAAGTAAAATATTCCTTTTCTGATGGGGACCTTATAGTGTACAATCGTACTCGTGAAGAATGGGAATTGTTACCGCCGTCTCTTGTGCAATTAGAGCATGTGTTGTTGTTTTGGGTTAGAAAGACTCTTGACAAGAATGTATTTAGCCGTTCTGATAGTGGGTGGCTGCGTAGGCGACAACCAAATCAGCAGATCGTTGAAGAAGGTCGATTTCATATTTGGAGTTTTATTCATGATGGTGTCCCTTATTTTTTCGGTATCATGCCAAAGTTTGCCAAAGAGCGTCGTAAGAGAGAATTATCATTGCTACGCAAAACGCAGCTGGAGAGAAAACAGATAGAGCAAGAACCTCAACAACAAGATAACACGGACAATACCCAGAGTCTGCAGCAGGAACACTCACCTAAAAGAACAATGGGACAAACTAAAAGATATGGTGATGCGGCAAACTATTTTCGTAACGGCTGTTTTATGTGGAATCCATACGGAAGACAAAGATGATTCT